GGCAATAGCCATCACTGGAAGGACAACGATCGTGAAAGTATGAAAGAAACCATGGACTGTCTGCAGCGGGTGTGCCGTATCGCGGAGCGCGTGTGTTGGGTAAACTGCTACATTTCGGAGAAATGTCTGGCGGCATTCGTGGAGCGGGACGCGGTCGTCTGCCAGCCCGACGAACAGCTAGGCATGCAGCTGTGGGATCTTTTTGAGAAACATATCAAAAGCAGGATACCAGTCGATTTTGAGGAACGATCGGCTTTTGCGGAGTGGATTGCCGGTGCCCGTAAAAAAATTGGAACAGCCTCCCAGTTGGAGAGCGTAAGTGGTCTACTTTTCAGTAAAAAAATATATTTTTTGATGTTCAGTTGTTCTAATTAGCTATTTAGGGTTTCAGATAATGCTACTGATGGTTTATGGTGCGAATGCCCTCTGCTCACTAACAACTACAGACACGACTAACCCAATCGTTCTGCTCAGGATGACCTTTACAGAAAACATTACCAAGCTAATACTGTAGCACATCAGAGCTAGGAAGACATTCCAAAGAAACTATCCAAGTGCAGACATTTCCAAAGCACCAGGTGGTCAAGCATGATGATGCTGATTCATTTACAAGAAGTTCTTCTCTATCAAGTATCAAGTACTCAACACTGATTTCTAATCCAAAAATAAGAAAAATGAGAGAACTCGCCTTCAACTCAAAAGCACTCACAGTCAAACAATGAGACAATATTGGCCCGCGCTCAAGCTCTGACTCAGACTCTGACCGCTCAAACTCTGACTCTGACTACTCAAAGTCTGACTCTGACTGTCCAAACTCTGACTCTGACTGAATAACCTAAGAATAACTTAAGAAACCTAAGAAAACTAAAAAACCTAAGAAACTTAAGAAACCTAAGAACCTATTAAGAAACCTAAGAAACCTAAGAAACTTAAGAACCTATTAAGAAACCTAAGAAACCTTCAGAGTCAGAGTTGGAGTCTAGGCCGACAATATTCTATTGATTGGTTTAGTTTATTCAAGAGAAGACAAACCCTGAGGCACTCGCTAGTCTGGTCAGATAATAATAAGAACAACAAACAAAAAAAAAACATTCAGATGGCAGAACAGCCGAGGTAACATAATATTACAGAAGGTCATTTGAACGTAAAGTAGCCATGGGTAAAGTTCAGTAGAACTACAACCGGACACCTCTTCCCCACGTAGTTTTTTAGTCTTACCATCAACAATTTTAGTATATTGTTGATAACTGCTTTATGAGAAATCAAAGTACACTTAAGTGACTTAACACATTACTAATTGGCGGATACTTTCTGGCCACTTTCTTCCGTTGCAAAACAACCTCCCAGTATGACTGTCCTAAAAATGTACATCACGCAGTTGTATTCGTGACGAGGGATATAAGGCGTCTGGTGCACGACGTGGCCGGTGGAAGAAATGTGGGGAAAACCTCTTATCCCCTGGATTGTTTTACAGGCTATCAACCGTTATCAGAGTCCCGATCCGCGCAACCGACAGCGCATATGGACAGAGTTAGCGTTGTTCCACATCTCACACTTTGATATTGGTCAGCTTAACATATTGACGACGGAGGTTTTTTACACAATCTTCATGCAGAACGTACAGAAAGCTACACAGTAGGTACCCAGAGTGTGAACCTTATCAGGACAAACTTCCGGGCCTAAATTCAGAAAAATCTCTCTTTCTGCAGGAACGTGGAATAGTAATGTGCTACGTGCCAGGCAGGCTTACTCGGTGCCCACGACATCGCCCGCTTTACTGTCTGTTCGCTGTTCCTGGAGATCCTCCATCCAGTGCCGTGTGACAACTGACAACGTTCCATCGCTGGACATTGTACAAGAGTACCACGCTGTACCACAGTACAACGAACAATAAAGCCTTACTTTAATCTTGGCATTGGCCAATAAATTTTTTACTTAAACGCTGCGGGTTGACTCGGCTGAAGCGGTGGTATCGTTGTGCAAATTTTGGCGGAAAAGATGGCGCTACCGAGTCGCTTTGCGCCGCATTCTGTCCAGCTCGCGCCTTATTGCAGTCGCTTTCGACTGCAATAACTTCGCTTTCTACTTTCAGCTGCCGCTTGCGTGTTGCAACTCGGTTGTCATAGTACCAATTTCCATAGCATTGATAAATTTACAAAATGTTGCGCTGTTTACTCTTTCAAACTAAAATCCCCGAATAGCAGCTGTTCTCTGCGTCAAAAGTTTTCAGAAGCCGATTTTTTTCACAAAACCAACGGATCAACTTGTAATTTTTTGTGAATAAAAAAAATTCAGACGAAGATACTTCTAACAGTTTGCTGTCACTAAGTTATTTTTAAAATTTGCAAATCTAAACGGCTAAGCCGGCTGAGACTTCTAGGCAGTTAGGCGGTTAAGCACTTCAGACGGCTGTTAGCCGAAATGCTAACCGTTTAGCCGACTGTTGCCATCTCTAGGTCGCACTATTCATTTTTGCCCGACTGCCACCATGCACTTTGCAGTTTGCCGAACGTACACTGATGTACATGTATCTACAGGGGTGGTACGCCAAGTTGGGGATCTTTTGTAAAACAACTGTCATAATTTCTATACGTTGCTTCGTTTTTGTTTTTAGATTTTCCCCATGCAACTTTTTATTGCAAATCCAGAAAAACTACAACCGGTGCCATTTGAGCTGTTAGTAGCGGGCCGAGCGTTGATTTAGAGGAAGAGGTAGTAGTCCTTTTTGGACTGCTTACATCTGCCCCACTAACAAATTCGCCAATGGATATCTTTCCGTGACCTTTTCTGTTAACTGCTGAGTGGTTCAAAAGATATTTGTGACGGGCCAGGACAAAAATCGTTCGCGTTCAGTGGTTGACTTAGCGCTGCAACACGGGTATGTCCCATAGACTTGTATGTTAAAAATGGCCTACCGAGAATTGTGGTTGCCTAGCGCATAAACCGAGAAAACCTAAAACTAATACTTTTCGTGAATAAATTATAGGTCCCGTTAATTTTAATGTGCCGAGAAATACCTGCCTCATAGGCGAGGAGGTGGAAGCCCCGGAAGAGCGGAAGAAAAAATCAGCAAAGCGGTAGCAACAAAAAGTCATGGTGGCTGTTGAAGTTGGTTGGAGCCGAGTGTCTTCGGCTTCCTATATGGATTGTAAACCTGATGCTGACGCTTAGTGCTTTAGGAACGAGATTTCATTAGAAACTGCTTTCTTTGTTATTCTGCGGCTGCGCGGCAAGCTCGGATATATAAGGTCAACCTTCACTTTGATAGTGCTCACGGAAGCACGGCAAAGGCCATAGAGGCTTGACTGAAATCGACTGTTGTCAAGCACCTCCTGCAAGAGAACTGGATAAACTACTGAGGTTTATCACCTTAGGACCACGGCCTCAACAGAATTTTAAAACAATTAACAATTAACAATTTATGAGTGTGGGGAAAGCTGGCACTTCATACGGGTTTAGCGGTTTTTTTAGCTGATCTACTTTAGTTTCCCCCTCGCTGGGACTTGAAGCATGTTCTTAGTGTGAAGATCTCTGGTTCGAAAGATGCCTAATACCTTCGGCAGTCAAGTAAAAAATAATTATTTATTTATTCAATGACGGCAAACTTGTAGTAATTTTTAGAAAAAACTGTCCCAACTTGGCGTAGCACCCCTGCATTATCCAAGGCATGTTACGAACGAACGGTTCCGGAATAGAAACGCATATCCGATGCTCAATAAATTTTTATTGGATATTGTCACTAAACATTTACTCTAAAATTCACATTTGGTGTACTCGTATTCATTTGGTGTACTGCTGGTAAATTTGGTGTACTGCTAGTAAAATATCGCTCGTGCAGCGCGGGTATATCCCGGCTCGGGTGACTACAGTAGACCATAACCACGACCTTGGTGAGTACGTTTTAGTCGCACCCCTCCGGCTCTGTGTGCCCACATACATCCATTCAGATAAAAAAAAACAAAGTGCCTGCAACTGCGTCCTGCACAGTGCCCATACTCGTTATATACTTCGAATAGCAAGTTTTGAACCGAAAATTAGGAAATGAACTGTACTATTTCGCGCAAAGGTGCTTTTTTAAACCACAGGGACTGCTTTATAGATTCTTAACAATTACCAGGGAGTCGATCCCCGTGGATCTACGTATTATAGCGGCCGGGAGTGGACGGACTCCGATATCGCGGAGCTGGATGCCGGCCGGCTGTCCACACTGACGGCGGTAGCTTTGTGCAGATCCTGTGAATGGATTGATGTGCATAAAGAATGCATTTGACACCGCCGCACCGGCATACTATGTGCGGAAGTTTCCCAACCGGATCAGGTGACCAACCAAAGTTAACAAACTAAACATCAGCAGATATAATGGGAAAATGAGAAAATGCGCTTTTCTTATACCAAATCCACTGATTACTACTCGGTAATAAAACGACTTATCAGTAATCTGACTAGATGCCGATGCGCGAAAATATGACCACAATTATTATCAGGCTAAGCTTTCAATTTGCCAGCATATTGCCACTTCAACTCGACGGGCAAACGCATCCATATAACGACTCATTCCTTTTAAAAAAAATGCTGCATTCTGAATTTCGGAAACAACCTAGCTTTCAACATCCATAGAAATAAAATGAGAGAAATTCTTTTTTAAAATTTACATTGTTATTAAAATTTACCTGTTCGCCCGCGCACGGATGGCTGCTTGATGCATTTTCATTTCCGGTTGTGCAGCTTGTGCTTTCCGTTGGACTGCCCCGACATACTGACGTAGCCTATGGCCTACAATACAGTGCACTTCTACTCATTCACCATTTATCACTCTTATGATTCTACAGTTTCGAAATTTTCTTCCTTTGCTTTCTGTTTCTGGTTCGAGAATGCAGCATAACAATTATGAGCAGGTTGAGTCAGGTTGACTTAGTAATCGATGATTTATTGTGCTTCTGCGTAGAATAGAATCGCATCACCATAATATCAAGTGAACGAGTCTGTATACACTATACAGCATGCGCGTTTACGGCGAGAACGAACGACGCCAGTCGGTGTACGCGTGGAACACCGTCGACGTGCTTGTCGACGGCCTGCTGCAGCACGGCGAAGTAGTCGATGTAGCCGAGAACGGGCTGATCATTGATTTCGGATGCGAAGCACATCGCGCGGAGTTCATCGAATACGGGCGCATCTTCCATTCGCAGAGCCCCTTTGATCCTTTGGATACCACTTTTGACACCCGGGTGCAGGTTCTCCTACGAGCATGCCCCGACCACCTCTGGAAATGGTACCCCGGGAGGGTGGTACCCCAGTTGCCCTCGGCGGAGACATACTTGTCCAGTTTGAGCATCGTGGAGGTGCAGTTGCCCCACGGGGTTATCCAGGAGGTGCTGCCCAAGGATCAAATACGCCGATCGCCCTCGGAGGCGGATTTGGCCAGGCGTTGTGTAGGGGAGAATGATTATATCATCCGCGACTGCCCCTTGCCGGCAGCCTGGTCCGAGGAGGCGCCGTTGCTCCAGGAGCTCTGTAAAATGAATTCGCCGAGCGTGCGATGCACCACGGTGCATGACGGGATGCTGTACTATGTACAGCGATACTCCATCCAGCCCGCGCTATATCCACTGGAACTGGTGCGTATCATTCGCAACGCTGTATATAAAGCACCCTTAGGATGACCGTAGTTTTTTTTTATGAAATTAAACGAAAGATAGTACATCTGCTAACTAGTGACGAAAAATTGAAAAGGAAAACAATCTACAAAAACTTCCATGATACTACTTGCAATTACGATGCCACACCGCGGGCGGTTACGACGGCCAAAAGCGCCGGCCGGAAGTTGGCGATTATTGCGTTATAAATAATTTCTAATACACGTTTCACAAAAGAACATGTTCAAAATAATGAGGCTGCTGACCAAGTGCAAGATGCGTAACTTAATGAAAATTATCAGGGCGACCTCTACTTGGAACTGAAGAGACAGCTTGCAGCTGGCGAATTATCACCGGGGCTGGTGGGTGGACATCTCATAACCGTCGATACTGTCAGTGAGGCACTGGAGCAGTGTTTTATACCATGCGAACTAGTTGTACTGACAGAAATAATCGGATTACTGGACAGCGTCAACCGCACGCGTTTTCGGCGCACCTGCGCCCTGTGGAATACCATCATAACGGACGCTTCGTTATCGGATGTGTTGATCTCCGGCCAAAAAGAGGACGTTTGGCCGACATCCCGCCAGAAACCACTGTTCTGGATACTGGCTTGTGTTCTCCACTGCGTCAACAACCGCACGAAGAAGGTACAGTCCATTTGATAATTTTTGGTCCAAAGTTCAATCTTACTGTAGTGAATGCGGTTGTAAGTATGCGAGCTGTGCTGGGTTTACTCCCGCTGCACACTGAAATTTAATCTGAATGGGTGTACATGGACGCCAAGAGCGGAAGTATAAACACTCTCAGGCAAGGTTGAACAGTCCGTTCTCTATTTTGTGGTTCAGATCAGGTGAAAATAATGGGTGTGGCTTCGGCTCTGCGCATTCATCCACATCCATCCAGATTAAAAATCAGTGTGCAGCGGAAGTACAGCAACTACAGTGCGCATACAATCGCACTCACTACATTTTAAAGTTTGAACCAAAAATTAGGAAATAGACTGTATGTAAGCCGTACCCGGCCCTATTGTGCGGTCTACAAAAATCCGGGAAGTGGACATTATGGACTGCAGCTGGCTCATTTACAATGTTTAAGTTTTAACTGCGAGGTATTAATTGTGGCAGCGCTTGCAACTGTTCTTGCTTAGGTAAGCTACCGCCTTCTAAATTTTCTTACCAGGTAGCTCTGGAGCACATGAGCTTGACCGAATGCGACGCTGCCGCCGAAATGATTCGCTACGTTCTTGGCGGCAGTAACCGCGTCGAGACGCTGGAATTCCGGCGGTGCGCATTACGTCATCCGGAAGACTGGTCGCTGGCAGCCACCATGGGCTGTCTGCAGCGGATATGTGGCGTCGCACAGCGTGCTTGTTGGATACAATGTCGCATCGCGGAGCAGCGTCTGACGGCCGTATGGCCGCAGGAGTCGGTCGTCTGTCAACCGGAAGAGCAGCTAGAGACGCAGCTGTGGGATCTCTTTGAGAAGCTGCTCGTTACGCGTATACCGATCCATCTGACGACCTTGAAGGCGTGGGTGACCCGCGCGGCTATGCACCCAGTCTTTAAACGGCTGGCGCGGGTGAGTGGATCGTGACATACAGATAAGAGCCCAATGGGATTTCCGAGGCTCTTTGCGAGCTTAGCCCAGCCTTTGCATGGTGGACATGCCGTACCCCTGCCAATCCTATTATTAAATAAATCGATTGAGGCGAAAAAATTGAAATATTAAAGCCGATTTAATGTACAACTTAACCGTTGTTCCGTTGTATCGTACGTATAGCTGACTCTGTCAGTTGCGGGATGTGGGCTATATCAGCTCGAGGGACCTCGCTTCGTAGCGGAGGGGGTGTCAGAAAGGCTCTCTGTGGAATCGTTCGATAAAACCCTTCAATTCAACCTGTATGCTTTGGCAATAGCCTACTAGTGCCACTCTCGACCTTCTAGTGTAGATGTTGTGGATTCGATTCCCACAACCGGCAGATTTTTTCCGAAGTTCTCTGCGAGATTAGCCCTGCCTTTGCGCTATTGGTGAATTTTGCGTGCTGATTATATATGTTTTCAGGTTTTGCACGAGTATCAGAGCGTGGATCCGCGCTCGTCGACGGAATACCGCGGTTGGCAGTGGACGGTACCGGAAATGCTCCATTTGGAGGTGGCAAAACTGACCAGCGTGACTGCAGCGGCAGTGACAGACCTCTTGGAGCGGCAAAACTACGGATCCATTCCAAAGAGAAAAAATTAGATTTTTTCATCATTAATCTCGACAAGCAGCTGATTTAAAGGTTGCAACAAACCGGTATTTCTGATTTTTAATTAATTAAATAATTTAATTCGAGTCAGAGCAGGTAGCCCATTTCCGGCTAGGATGACGGTCTAGCCTGGGATTTTAAACCTGGCTGTTAAATGCTAAAGACAAAAACATCGAATTTAAAGTAAGAAGGCTATAATGACACACAAAACATAACTAGAGAGAAAACAATACCCAACAGTAGTTTAAAGAAGGCCCGCAGTGTATAGTGCACTTCTAAAACACCCAAGAGAACGTAATTCAAGAATATCACTGCCACAACGGTTGATCTTATCCAGTAGCTTGCTCAGTCGCCATGCCAATGTGGTTTCCCCACATTTTGACGCCGCCTTTGTTCTGATGGTAGATCTATCGGCGTTACGCAGGTGGTATGGCTTCCTTTCCTCGTACTTTACCAAATCCATTATGTAGTTCGGCACGTTGAACGGCACAGGATGTTGAATCTTGTACAGCTAATTAGCCTCCTGGTGCTTCCAACGGGTAAATAGTGGAACGATTCCGAAACGGTCCATCAACATTTTTACAGGTCTCGTCGGATAGTTCGCAATTGCCCGGACTGCATTACGCTGTGCAACGGCTAACTTCTCTCGCAGGGACACAGACGCGTTGCTCCACACGGTAGAGCAGTAGTCCAGATGAGAATGGACGAACGCGTAGAAAGTCCGGCCCACACGCTGAGCGTCGCACAGGCCGTCTTTCCGCCGATTAATGAGAGCAATTCCATGAGCGACACTTTTTTGGACCTTATTGAAATGTTCGGTCCATTTTAAGTGCTGGTAAATTATCACCCTCAAGTGCTCAACGGATTTTTCCGTTAAACCATTCTGTGATAGCCGGGAGTGCACTTTCTAGCTTAGCCGCTGCAGCCATCTTTCTAGTTTTCTATAAACGATTGCACTGACAAACGCCGATGTTATCCGTTTCGTAAACATTGCTTTGCGTAGAAATTTCCGCAATTATTCTACTGTAAATCAACGCAATAGCGCTCTGTGGCATTAAGCCATTAACACATAATATTCTGTATTAATATATCGTACCTACGTTATGATACGTACAATACCGCAGTAGCTATTTGGTAACGTTCTTTCCCATTATTCGTTGTTTTCTGTCCGTATGCGGACTGGTTTCTCAGCTCTTCTGTTCTGAACTACTACTCGTAGAAAAATTCGAAGCCGCGAAGTGGCAGTCAATTTTACTCAGAGACAGCAAGCAATGGTTGCAAAACAACTTGTTAAAAAAACAAAATTAATACATGCCAGTTTGTGTGAATTTTTTTTCGAATGAAGCGCCTTCGCTCAATGCCGCCGACGTCAGCCGGGTCAGCTTACTGGTATCCAGCTCGGAGATCGTCGACATTGTCCAGTCCCGATCGCGGTAGGGGGTGGATGAACGCGGATCTTTAGACTGGTAATATTCGAGGGCCTACAGCAACCCACTGAGTCATAGGACCATTAGCATAAAAAATAAAAAAGAGCGGCTTACTTTTACTATCTGTTGTCGGCCTTGCTGGCTGCACTCGTCCGCGATACAGTCGGCCACCCACTGTGACACCAGCGGCAAACACCGCGGTCTCTTCAGCACCAAGTGGTTCTCAAAGAGATCCCACAACTGCAGCCGGATGTCCTGCTCCGACTGGATGCGAATCGCGGAATCGGCTACGAAGGCTGTTAGGTGGTCATTGAAAATACGGCACTTCTTCACCACCATCCGATCAAACGGGCTACTGTCACCGTAGCGCATTGAGCACTTCCAGAAGCGCTCAGCCAACTGGTCGGTCACGGAATGGACAAAGGCTAACATTCCCCCGAAATCACAGTCGTAGAATATCAGCGTCGGGACGCGGCAGGCATTGAGGAGGCAGTTAATCGGTACGGCCGTGCGGATTAATTTGTGAATGTCTAAATTCCTTCCTTATACCTTAGTCGCGTTCGAGAGGCATTTTAGTAAACCAGCCACCACCCAGTACCCCATGGCGTATGTGCACTGCAGATCGCCATACTCCGTATCGCTACCCGAAACCCGCACATCGGGGAAGTAGGCGTCCGTGGTGAGAACAGTGTTCCACAGGTGGCAGACGCGCCGACAACGGAAGCGTCCGATGGAGTCCAGGGACTGGAAGACTTCCACCATTAGCTCAGCTGGTAACGGCAGACTTGTTCTACTACCGCCATCGGTTTTCCGCTTTCTACTGGATGTGCGGACCGTCATTTGACGGAGCAACCGAAGACATCTGCAAGATATACGAGCACGTGCCTCTTCCGTCGCCGCTTTGTAGGCAAGATTCTGCAAAAGGAACCCTATGCATTTAACAAAAGAAGCCCATACCACTTTTTTCGAAACAGTGTTTTCAGCCCGGCTGCTGATGTTAAGGAAATGATATGGCTGTTATGAGTGCTTTTCGAGAGAAACCATAACAGAGAATTCCGTTGTTTTATTGGTGTTTAAACTAAAAATAACGGCGAGGTATGGTACGCTTAAAACTACAGCTCAAGGTATTTTGCCCGCAACCCATATTGTTGTACTTGTCGAACAGCTGCGTTAATCTTATGCCGATGGTAGTCCCCCCGCACGCTGGACTCAGTCAAGTTGATTACGCGTTGTTGTCTGTGTGAGGAGAGAAGCGGCTCACGTACAGCGGCAAAGTCTTCCAAAGGATTTCAACACTTTGCGCCGGGGTGCAGTGGTACTGCCTACGCGGATCTAACGACGTGTCGGGGTTCGATTACCCCATCGGTGCATTTTTCGGCCGTTTCTCAGTTTCCAGTGGACGGCGCTTTACTTATATCTGCTCAGACATTGTACTACGATAACTACTGTATTTTATTTGGCGCGCGTAGCGCGTACTGTTATATTTACTATATCGACTGGTATTAGCAGTGGCCCGTTAACTGACAATCTGACATACAGTTCGCGTGACTTACCAAGATCTCATGAGTTACTGGTTTATCCGTCTGCCGCTGCAGATAGTCGAAGGTCTGGCTGAGCACTGACGTGCACACAACACGCCATCGTTGGTTTAGTTCGCTCTTGAAAATCTCCCGGGGTAACTGGGACCCATCTGCCCAGTAGCCGGCCGGCAGCGGACAAGAGCGTACAACAAAATCGCCCTCGCGAACCAGCCGTCTCTTCACATCCTCGTCCGTGGGTGTTAGGCGCACCTGCGTGTGGGGCACGATCTCTCTAACGATGCCATGCGGCCGTTGCACTTCCACGAGATCCAGAAAGTTGTACCAGCAGTCGCCTAGGGGGATACGCTTTCCCGGATACCAGATCCAGGCATCGTCGGGATCATGGCGCAGTAGCACCAGCACCTCGGTGGTGGTGGTCCGCAAGGTAGGTGGTTGTGATCGAAAGTCGGGAAAAATGCGTCTAATGCGTCCGTACTCGATCAACTGCGCGCGCTGTGTGCCACAGCCGAACTCAACCATCAGGCCGCCCTCCGCCACATCGACCACATTGCCATGCTGGAGCTGGCCGTCGACGAGAGCTTCCACAGTGTTCCACGCCAGGAGCTTCTGCTCCCTGTCTTTGAAAACAAACATAATTATGTGTGCAGACTGCAGTAGATGGCGAGACGCAGTTCAGGCTTGCTCGGCCAACATCCCTGAGGATACGTGTGATGACACTAATGGTTTAATAAAGTTACTCCTTGTTTTTGTTAAACAACGTCGATTAAAATGGAAGAAAATGTAGCAAGTTTCGTTTACATAAAAATAAAGGAGCGATAAACTGCTTAATCTTTAGTTTGCTTTGATTTTGTGTCCTACGGTAGCGATATGGCTGTTCACATTGTATTTCTAAGGTAACTGTAACCCTGTGTGTTGCGGTTTGCACCCCGGCGCTATGCTACACGACTGCCGCCCATGGCGACGGCTACGCTTCTAAGATGCCTTATTCAGCGTTTTACTACTTATTTAATTTTTTTTGGGCCCTTTTCTTTGGGCTTCAAGACTGCAGACTCGCAAATTCGCAACTAACGAAAGCAACGTCACTTCGCTTAAGAAACGCTGACTAAACTACAACGGAGCAGACGATGGGGTACCACGGTAATCAGAATTCATACCAGACAAAGGTGTAATCTATAAGCGGTCGGAACGCGAGTAAAGTCGAAGTATAGTCAACGGCACTCTGCCTTATATCTGTACTCGAACCCAACAACTACTTAAACTGCGTAAGAAGTGCTAATATATCAAAGACAGCCCAGTGAATTACGGCTGGCACGACTTCGTCCGCCAGTGCGTTCCCTGCATTGCTTGGGACAAGGCCGTTGCGGTGATTTTGGTCAGTTTCTTCACGTCCATATTGCCGATATCAGACGGTGTCCACTAACAGCCGCGCAAGTGTGATGAACAGCGCGGATCCACGCTCTGATAACTGCAAAGAATCTGAAAACTACAAAAATTTTAATTAAGTTTTTTAATTTGAAATTTAAAAAGACATCTTGATAAAAAAAATCATCGGCACACATTCGCGATTAGGGTGCAAACCGTGCAATATGTGTAATACTGTAATGGGAACAATCCCTGACCAGGACAGCAGAGAGGAAGTGTTTCTGTTATAAATTTTGTTATTGGTACTTAGTTTAAATTGTTTCCGGAATATGATACTTATTAAAGGCACGTTGAGTAATTAGGGCTGACGCGACTTGGACCGCCAGTGCGTTCCTTGCATGGCTTGGAACAAGGCCGCTGCGGTGACTTTGTTCAGTTGGTTCACATCCATGTTGCCGATATCGGACGATGTCCACTGACAGCCGCGATAGTGTGTTAAAAAACGTGGATCCACGCTCTGGTAACTGCAAAGAGCCTAGAAAACGCACAAATAATTTTATTTTCTTCATAACTTAGCCAAGAAGAAAACCCAAATAACAATTTTTTTTTTAAATTTGAATTGAGATTTTCTTTTTGATAATCAGATAATATCAGAAAACATCAGCGCGTATAATTATCGTTGACATTATTATCGACCTAGTACAGCATCTGACTATATATTTCAGCAGCCAACTGGAAAATTTCGCTGGCAGCTGGTCAATTTTGAAAATTGTTACTTTTTCTGTTTACATAATATTTCAGTATCAAAGAGAAGTATCAGCTCTAGGAACAGAACGCGCTGTCTACAGTTTCAAAGCCAGCTGATGAACCAATCGAAAAAAAAACGAAATCGCATTACCCGTTTAAGCTGATCGAACGGATTGCACCGGGCACACCCCAGCGCATGGTCAATCCACTGCGACAACCGCTTCAAATCCACCGCTTTCTCCACAACGAGATTCGCTTCAAAGAGATCCCACAGCTGCCTCTCCAGCTGGTCTGCTGGTTGATAAGGAAGGGCGTTATGTGCCACCTCGGCGGACATATACGGATCGGCCAGGCGGCACCGGATCCACTCCACCCGCTCCGCACTGCGGCACATCCGCACCAGACAGCCCACAATATCCTTGATGGATGGGGTGACGGAATGAATGCCCATATACGCGTCAGTGAAATGCAGCGCGCACCGGTAAAATACCAGTGTTCCGGTGCGGCCGACCACGAAGCGGACCATGGCGGCCGCGTCCTCGCAATCATCCAGTGTCATGTGCATGAGCACCATGGTTTTGGTGCGCCTGTTGACGCAGTGGAGGAGGCAGGTCATTATCCAGAACACCGGTTGCATGCCGGGCGACGGACAGTCGTCTTGGCGGCCGGAGACACGCACATCGGGGAAGTCGTCTTCCGTGGTGAGGAGATTGTTCCACAGGGTGCATGTGCGCCGGCACCGGGTGCGGTTGCCGCTGTCCAGCGACTGGAAGATTTCCACTAACAGCTTGCTGGGTATGGATTCGTCTGGTTCAAGAAAGGGAAAGGTATATCGCTTCCTGTCCCGCAATACCTTATGCCAGAGCGAAGTCTGAAGCCAGACGTCTTGTGGGATGGCGCACTTATAAAATTTCTTCTTAGTGCGATTGAACAGCTCTTCCTGGAAGGGAAATCCAGCCCATTTAGTAATTTCTGCCTTTAGTTTACTGTAGTTTGTGTGCTTGTACGCGCAGTGTATTTGCTGTACTTCCGCTGCACACTGGTTCAAATTTAAACTTCTGAATGGATGTATATGAATGTACAGACCCGAGGCATTATCATTCGCTGTAAGGTTGTGTATCTTATAAGCCATACTTCTACCCTTGTTTTTCACCATCAGGTCAAAAAAATTTCCAAGTTAGCTGTATTGATTTAATTGATTTATTTATTGCAAATTCTATGATTTACGAAACGCACCAGTTCATCCGGTAGCAGTGCACGGTCGCTTCCACGCTGAAGATACTGTAACGAATCGCTTTGCACCATCGTGTTGAACACCCCCCGCGCTCGAGGCAGGATTAATGGGAAGATCTCGCGGAGCAAACCCGTTTCGCCGGTCCACGCTGACGGCATGGGACAGCTACGGATAACAAAGTCTTTGTCCTGCACGCGGCGACCGTCCAAGTCGGCGTCCGAGGGAGGGCGTCGCACTTGATTGCGGGGGAGCAGCTCCCGGACGGTGCCGTGGGGCAGCTGCGCCTCCACGATGAACAACCCAGCTAAATACCCGCCTTCGTCTCCCGGGGATAAGACAATCCCGGGATACCATTTCCAGGGGCAGTCGGGACCGACGCGCAGGAGAACCTGCACATTCGGGTCTAGGAAAGTATCCAAGGGATCAAAGACTCTTGTCGCGTGAAAGATGTGTTCGTATTCGATGAACTCGGAGCCCTGGCCAGTACAGCCGAAATTAATGATCAGACCCTTCTCCACCACGTTTATGACTTTGCCTAGCTGCAGCAGGCCATCGATCAGGACATCCACCGCGTTCCACGCGAACATGGAATGCGACTGGTTGTCCTCTTCGTAAACAAACATGGCGGCGTTGTTGTCGTCCTCAAATTTCGCAACTATCAGCAATGAAACGATATTACCCGATAAATCTATACGACGTCCAAGGTCCCAAGGTTAAAAGTGCAACCACAGCACTAATCAGCTTTACAGATGTATTCTATATATGGATTATATAATTTATATTAAAGGTATTCAAACAGTGATACAGGATATCAATAGAAACAACATCGGGAACCAAACATTCCCGTGCAGTCATATCCTAAAGACTAAAAGCAAACAGCAATAAATGCTTAGAAGAGCGATACTGCATTCCTACACGATACATGTAGTCACGCCCGTTTTGCAGTTTATAAAATACGGGAAAACTGCTCATCCAAACAGTTGATATCTACGCTGAAATTAGAGGATGGATGTTTTCTGGATGGGTGCTGGATGAAACAGACTGCATCCGTATCGTGAAACTGGGCAAAAATGACATGGCCATATAAGAATACAGAGCCACGTGGTGCAGGTGGGTAGCTCAGTCATATCTCAGTGGCCAGCTGCAACGGCAATCGATGCGATACTCACCAGTCACCACTCTCTCTCGGTACTCAACTTTTGCAGAGAGCAACGTGATAAATTTCAATGGCCTCGCCCACTGGGCACTGGCCTTCCGGGGCACGCGGGCAGCGCAGGCGCCGTGTTTTACAGCGTAGCTTATAACCGCCCATTGTGACGATTACTTATAAAAATGCCCCTGTAGATGCATTTCCGGCTGGAATGTCAGTGTCTCTGTTGGGAATTATGAATTACCCATTTTTATGCATTTTCTGGCATTTGTTCCCCCTATGCATAAAACTATTATTTAGGGACACCCGTGTTTCACGCCGTTGCAGATTTATAGGATATACCATTATCGCTCTCTAAATTTTTTCTTCCTCACCGGTTCGCGCGTGGATTACGATGGATATTTGCGATACTTTTGCGGTTGCTCAGACTTTTGTTACTTTCATCTTCGCTAATCTTTACGTTCCGGTTTATTCACTGATCCTGTGCCTGTAGCCTCGAGGTGGCAGATGCTCCGTTACAAAGGACATTAAAGTTTTTATTATTATTATTATTATTATTATTATTATTATTATTATTATTATTAGGTGGCACTACCAGTACTTAAATATGACAGTGGTACACGGTTAACAGGGACCGAGGCAACAATATGCAGGTCTATGAAGACAGTGAACGGCGCAGTCCCGTGTACGCTTCTAACGGCGTCGACGTCCTCGTCAAGGGCCAGCTGCAGCACGGGGAGGTAGTCGGCGTAGCCGAGAACGGACTGATCATTGATTTCGACTGCGAGACACAGCACGCAGAGACTGTAGAATACGGATCCATCTTCCATTTGCAGCTTCACTGTGGCCGTTTGGATGTACACCAGGACGCGGATGTCCAGGTGCTGTTGCGGGGGGGGCCGCGACTGCCCCTGGATATGGTATCGCGGGACGGCGGTATCCCTGGATGACAACAGCTGCTATTCCAGTGGGTACATCGTGGAGGCGCAGTTGCCCCAGGGCGCTGTTAAGGAGCTGATTCCCAGCAAGAAGTGCGCCGGCCGCCCTCGGATGCCGAGTTGGACGCGCTCCGCGTGGTGGCAGGGGATTATTTCGTCAGCGACAGTTCCTCTACGTCAGACGGCACAGACGGGTCTCCTTCACTCGAGGAGAGCGGTAAAATAAACGTACCGGAAGTGCGCTGTATGGCGGCGGTGCGGTTCGAGATGCTGGAAATAGAGCAAAACTACTTACGCCACCTACCCCTGAATCGAAGGGAACGAGTGCGTTGCACAACGTAGTTATTTTTCTCCAACATAGCAGATGCTAACTAGCTGTCAGCGTTATCGGAAACTTCAGTAGTTATATAATTGATATGATTTTGTCTTAGCTGATTACCGGAAGTGGCCCGGTACATGGCACCAAATTCGTGTTCGTGGGCGAAAACTTTCACTTCCGGGCACTCCCGAACACTTCTTTGCTTTGTCTTATAACATTCTATAGCTAGATGATTTGTATACACAGGCGTAATAACCGTTTTGTGCACGCAACATCCGGTTGGAAAGTAGAATCAGAATTCAACAAGACTGAATGCACTCAGATATACTAAAAGTTTCATTATAACCCGATCTTCTTAAAATTTTGCTACCCTAGTAAATGCGCATACGCAGCGAAAGTTCCCGTGGATGTACACAAATTTGGTGTTATGTACCGGGTCAAATCCCTTAAGTCTGTTCTTTCAACTCTTCCGGTACATGTACTATATATACGATCCGCAAGGGCTTAGTGTATCTGTTTTTAATAAAATTCTTTATACCTGTCTAAAAATTATGCAGGAACGCCGGTACATGCGGCTGAAGAAACAGCAGGACAAGAACGAATTATCAACGGAACCAGTCAGGCGGAATCTGCTTCCTGTTGAAGGTTGCGTGGGCGGTGACGGTAATGCACTCGACCAGTGTTCGTCTTTGCCGAGTGAGCTTTGGACGGAAGTCTTCGCTTCACTGGACAGTATTAACCGCAGCCGTATACGGCGCACCTGCGCCCTGTGGGACACCATCATCAGCACGGAGGCCTGCTTGGCGGATGTGTGGGTCTCCGGCCGGACCGAGTACACCTTGCCCTCCCGCAACCCAGCACGGTTCTGGGCGCTGGCCAGCCTGCTGCACTGCGTCACCCGCCACACGCAGCGGGTGATTCTCGGGCAGATGGACCTGGCTGAATGTGGCCGTGCTGCTCGAATGATCGGGCATATTCGCGGCGACGGAAACCACATGGAGACGCTGGTTTTCTACCGGTGCTCATTGTGTCACCACGAAGGCTGGAGTTTGTCATCAACCATCGACTCTCTAGTGGAGATATGCAGCGTGGCAGAGCGCGCGTGCTGGGCGCAGTGTCGCATCGCGGACAACCGTCTGACCGCGGATGTATCGCGGCACTCACTCCTCTGCCATCCGGAGAAGGAGCTGGAAATGCAGTTGTGGGATCTCTTTGAAGCGAACCTCGTTGTCGAGAAAACGGTGGATCTGCAGCATTTGTCGACGTGGATCGCCTGTGCGATCGAACATCCAGAGATATTTAAGCTTGCACAGCAGGTGAGGCCAGTTCTTAACACGTTTTTAAGAGAAGTGGTCCGGTACATGGTAGCAAATTCGTGTGCATGTACGAAAACTTTCACTTTCGCGCATTCCCGAATTTTCACTTTCGCGCATCCTGTAGCCAGATGATTTGAATACATAAGCGTGAAAACCGTTTGTGCGCGCAACATCCGGTTCGGAAGTTATAACTGTAAGAAAGCTCCAAAAAGTTTAATTGCATTTCCCAAACGGATTTGGTACCATGTACCGAGTCACTTCCCTTAACTCTTGATGGTGGATATTACTTTTTTATTTGATTCCGGCCGTATTCGATTATTGTGTTTGTACAGGCTTTATGCGATTACCACGGCATGGATCCGCGTTTGTGGGCGCGTGATCACCGATTTCCATGGGCGATGCCGGATTTAAACGGGGTAGATGTGAAGGAGCTGAGCAGCCTGGCCGCGGCGGGCGTGTACCATGTCTTGAAGACATCCGACTGGCGGCGATCCTAACATATTTAGAGGCTGGTTACGCGAAAATTATGATTTAATTATTGTAATAATATATCGTTAACATATATTCAATAGTATATAATTTATTACATTCTCCGATCTTCTGGTGTAATCTTGTGATGGATGTACTATAACATGCTGCGGAAATGTGATGTATTATGGCAAATGTGCCGTAGTCTCTGAGTCTGGTCATAAAGTGAACAGCACCGCTATTCGATTTGGTTAAAGATCTAACTAGGGGTGCGGCCAAATATTTTGCTGATCGGTTTAGCAAGTAGATAGTGTGTCACACCAAGAAATACCAACGTATGAACACGGCGGCCAAATGCAGTTTCTTATTCCTGTAATTCTGATATACGGCATCATCATGTACCAACATAAAATAGTGAACCGGAAGTACGAGTAGTTCTTTGCTACCCAGGCGAGCCGACAAGTTCGAGTGCGAGTTTGCAGCACCATTTTGCTGATATTGACGTAATTTATTTATGATCAACCTGCTCCAAGAACAAATAACAAAATGATAATAATAATAAGTCGTCATCAGCAGGGAAATTGTAAGTGCTGTGACAGGCAAGCACAGAGAGCTCACAGGTGACTTTATTGTACAAATAAAGTGGAGCAAATGCCGCGTGAATGCGGGGAAAAACACAACAAAGGCCAGTGTCTGGCAGAAATCAGCAAGTCAAGTTGCTGCGAGCTAGTTCTAGAGCGTAATGAAATGTAGAGAAAGAAATGTGCTGGCGGCAACGGCGTCACGCTGTCCAGACACAAGGAATGTGAGTGCGCAGACTGGACTCGTATCCAACGCGAGCGTATATGCGCTGAGTCATACAGCGAGAGAGAGGAGCGAGAGAGCAAGTATGCTCAGTGAGTGCGCCCGCGGTGTATCCGCTAGGCGGAGAGTGCAGTGCAGCCACTCACGTACGTACAAGAGAGGGCGAATCAGCATGTGTGCAGTGATACGCATACGCAAAGTGGCGCAAAGTGGCGTGCCTCTAACAGTGCAAAACACCCGGCGCCACCAGACATGTACTGTACTTTACAGTAATATTAATTTTACTTCAAATACACGGACGTTACGAAGCACGAGACAGGCTAAAACGGAGCTGAAGATGGAATACATTTATAATGCGGCCATATTACCGGCCACTCATTAACTTTCAAAAATTTTCGAATTCGAACAGTATGCAAAGTAGATTATGGTAAAAACTGGCGCTCCACCGTGCATTTTTTGACGCTGACTCCAGACCTAGGTTAACTAACTAACACGACATCGCTAAAACCAGCGATAGCCAACCGGACCAGCCACTTATATTCCCAGAATAAACGGCAAGGCCATCGACTTCCGCTTCAGTGTAGCTTTAAAACAGCATACAAAAGTCAGCCGCTGATGTGGGCCGGCAACGTTCCGCCAGCCAGTGCGTTTTCTTCATTGTATGGCACAAAGCGGTGGTAGTGATTGTGGTCAATTTTTCGACATCGACATGAGCGATATCGGACGCCGTCCACTGACACCCGCGATAGGGCGTTAAACAACGCGGATCCACGCTCTGATAGTTGCCGAGAATCTACAACATATTTTAAACAACGATATACGAGATCAAGTTATTAATAACACCGAATTCCACCTGTTTGGGTTTTATTAACAAAAAAAAACAGGTCATGTCTAAACTCTGTCATCACAAAATATCCAGCATCCATTATTTTTAATGTTATCATAGCTTTTTACATGGAGGGATTTTGTCCGGCTGCTGGAAAATGTTGTTGGTCAAACCAAATAATATTGTACGTTTATTGATTTAACTGAAATACGAGTTGTAAATACCTCTTAGGAACCGAACGCTTTCTTACAGCCAAAACTTGATTGAACGTCGGGAAAGATTAATGAGATTGCCTTACCCGCTCAAGTTGGTTGGATGGGTTACAAAGGTCACACTCCACCGCATGGGCAATCCAGTCCGCCAACACCGCCAAATTTACGGGTTTCTGCACAATGAGATTCGCTTCAAAGAGATCAAACAGCTGCATCTCCAACTGCCCTGCTGGCTGACAGGTCATGGTGCTCCGTGAAACGAAGGCGGCCAAATACTGCTCGGCCATGCGACACTTTATCCATACCGCTCGCTGCGCACATCGGCAGATCCGCAACAATCCCCCCAAGGTTTCCTTCATCGAGTAACCGATGGCGTTAGTGACCATATTCCGGCCCGTGTACTGCAAAGAACACCGGTAGAAGACCAGGGTACCGGTGCGGCCGACCACGAAACGGATCATCGCGGCCGCGTCCTCGCACTCATCCATTTTCGCGTGCATGAGCACCACAGTCTTGGTGTTGCTGTTGACGCAGTGGAGAAGGCAGGTCAACATCCAGAACAAGGGCTGCATCGTGGGCAAGGGACAGTCTTCTTTGCGGCCGGAGACGCGCACATCGGGGAAGTCGGCTTCCGTGGTGAGCAGAGCGTTCCACAGGGGCAGGTGCGACGGCACCGGGTGCGGCTGCCGCTGTCCAGCGACTGGAAGGCTTCCACTAACAACTTGTTGGGTAAGGGTTCGTCTAGTTTAATCCGGACGAAAGTTAATCGCCTCGACTTCCGAATTGACTCAATTAGCTGACGCCCCAGTGAGGTCCGAACCCATACGTCGTTTGGGAAGCCAACCCCAGCAAGCTTTTCTTTAGTGCGATGGAACAGCTCTTCCTGGAAAGGAAATCCAGCCGATTTGCTCATATGGGCATTACTCATCAATAAATACTTTAATTATATTATTATAAAAATATAATGATTTACGAAACGCACCAGTTCATTCGGTAGCAGGGCACAGTCGCTTCCAAGCTGAACATACAGTAACGAATCATTCTGCACCATCCTGTACAACACTCGCCGCGCTCGGGGCAGGATTAATGGGAAAATCTCGCGGAGCAGATCTGCTGCGCCGGGCCACGCTGACGGCATGGGACAGCTACGGAGAACAAAGTCGTTTTCCTGCACGCGGCGACTAACCAAGTCGGCGTCCGAGGGTGGACGCCGCACTTGGTTCCGGGGGAGCAGCTCCCGGACGGTGCCGTGGGGGAGCTGCGCCTCCACGATGTATAAGTTAGCTAAATACGAGCGCTCATCCCCGGGCGACAACGCAATCCCGGGATACCATTTCCAGGGGCAGTCGGCACCGGCGCGGAGGAGAACCTGGACATTTGGGTCTAGGAGAGTATCCAAAGGATCAAAGACTCGCGTCGCGTGGAAGACGTGCTCCCATTTGAAGAACTTTTTGCGGTGACTAGCGCAGCCAAAGTCAATTAGTAGACCCTTCTTCACCACATTGATCACTCTTCCCAGCTGCAGCAGGCCGTCGACGAGTACCTCCACGGCGTTCCACGCGTACATGGACTGCGATTTGTTGTCGTTATAGTACACTAACATGGTCACAATTATGTGCTTGCCAGATTAAATTGAACTGCAACGTTTGATTCTTAGCGCAACCAAAACACAGCCAATGGATAGATTTTCCCCATTAAAAATTTCCCGCACAAAAAACGTTTAACGCTGAACAGCGGCCAGCGCGTTTATTAGAGAAGTAAAACGCTAAATTATTTCTGGATGGGATAAGGACCAAATCTGGCAGATCATAAGGTACAGCAACCGACTCCATTCCTTTTAGACAAGGCAAGACAATTCTAATTTGTAATCCCCCGAAATTCTTCCGGCAGGCGCCCAACATGGGTTGTTCCATAATTCTGAATTATGTAGAAAGTGGTTACAGCAAGAAAACCCTAGCGGGGCGTCCCCTCGTGGGGACTGTTCCGAAGGACGGGTTTTATTACATAATAACTGTAAAAAACTTCTGTTGTGGAGTTGTTTACGGGAAGATTGCCTGAGTGCAAGCTGGACGGCTATTGTTGCGAAATAGTATGCGGCAAGTGCAACCACCTCGCGTACGCGCATGCGTGTATTAGTCTCGACCTGATTCCGAGTCTCCGACTGCCACTATCTCCAAAACGTGCAGCATCAGATAAGTGTACTGAGGGCTGTGCACTGCACAGTGTGCAGTACCAGTACAAAATGGTACTCTACTCTCACTTATATGCGTGTGAGAGTTTTATTGCATGTAGTAATATGAGTTGTTTTATTGGATGTAGTAATGTGGAATTGTGCATAGCGTCGTATAAAAGCGTGGGGAAAATCGGATTGGAATAGAGTAGAGAAAAAGTGGAGAGAAAATGGAGTAGAGTAATTGGGTAGAAAAAATGGTTAGAGAAAAATAAAGTTGAGAAAATGGTTAGAGAAAAATGGTAGAGAAATAGGATAGAGAATTTGGTTGAAAAAATGGTAAGTGGAAAATGGTAGTGAGATAGGGTGTAGAAATAAGGTGGAGAAATTGGGTAGAGAAAAAGGGTAGAGAAACAGGGTAGAGGAATTGGGTTGAGAATATGGTTAGAGAGTAAATGGTAGTGAAATAAAGTCGTGAAAATGGTCAGAGAAAAGTGGTAGTGAATAGGGTGAATTAGGGTACAGATATAAGATGGAGAAGTTGGGCAGCGAAAAAGGATAGAGAATTGGTTGAGAAAATGGTGAGTGAAAAATGGTACTGGGATAGGGTGTAGAAATAAGGTGGAGAAATTGGGTAGAGAAATAAGGTAGAGAAATAGGGTAGAGAAACTGGGTAGAGAAAATGGTTAGAATATGGAGAAATAATGTTTATCCATATGGGTGAGTGAATCCGAGGAAGACATGCACATTGCCCTTATTGATTTTTGTATAGGTTGAAAGAGCCGCAGTGTCTGCATTAAAAAGGTCAATTTTTCGCCGTCTGAAGCGTTTCTCGGTGTTTTGTTTGCATGCCGCTTTGTTTGATTCCTTTGGTTTTACTTTACCGTAGGGTATTTGTTTTAAAATGCGTACCGTCATTGTTTATTTGACATATTCATTTTTTTCGTGCAGAATTAATAATAGATATCAAGAGAGCTAGTTTGGGCTAGATAATAATTTCTGATATACTGCTGCGAAAAGCAGCGAAATAGTACACTCGCTATAAAAATAGAAACGTTTGCGTAGAGGGGAAGATTGCTGCGAGGCAGTGATTCGTTATCGTCGGCACGTAACTGGCGCTGTAATGCTGGATACAAGGCCGGAGGAAACTCAATACTTGAAGGGCATCTTCCAGAGATTAATCCCGCAGTGCAGCGTGATGCGCTGTGCCAAGAGAGCACCAACCGGCATATCGAGTAATACGTGATGGTATTGACTCAGTTAATGAGATTTGCTGATAATTTTATTTGGAATTATATGCTGGGATCAAGTTGTCGGTGTGTACAGCATACGTAGAGTTGTGTGAGTGTGGATGCAGTTCCGGGACGGGGATCCCTGGCTGGTTAGCAGCAGACAGCGCCAGTGAAGGGTCGGCAATCACTCGAGAGAGGCGGTGATTTTTTTACGTTCCACTTACTGAGCACCCTTAACCACTATCATCGCTAATGGTTACTAAGAACTTAAGAAGTCCATAACACCCGATCGAACGTTACTTAAATCGTTATACTATCCATGTTTTTTAGGCAGTTCTTTATGATACTTAATATGTATTATTAAGTGACATGAGTAATTTTCCAGCTTTACCACGGATATGCGTATGAACAAAGCACGAATAAAAAAATTCAAAATAATCCATGTAGCTCATGTCGGTTAACATTAACAGACGAAAAAACGTACCTTTACGTAAATTGTAATCATAACATCTTTCATTCGTACTGAATCGTACATTCTAATTTTTAAGCTCTTATATTAATTTGTTATTAAGACAACTCCAAACATAAGTCATTATTTTCCGTGGTTTTATTATTTTTAAATTTTTTGCTTGAGTTTTAGTTAGCGAAAGAATGCGACAGTATTGCACATTTATGCGCACAGGAATAAACGTTACGAGTTGCGACAGTTAACTTGAAGACCATTTATCACAAGGCGGCAAGTAATTGCTGGGCAACGATATATTTAAGTAAACGCCAGGTTCGCACACAGAATGAGAACAATTACCTGGGTTTTTCAACCAAAGTTGGTAATTTAAGCAAGTTTATGTAGGCGTCAGTACGACTGACGGTCTAGTATTGATTTGTGTACCGCATCACTACTGGATTTCATAACATCCCTGAAGATCAGTACCACACGTGGAGAACAATTCAGTTAGGCCGATTGCCATTTCATAGCGACGTTATCCACGACGGGATAAGTTGTGCGAAACGGTTCCCGACAGGATTTTGGCACGGACTGGAGTGAGCAGCACGTAGGGTATAGGTCACACTCAGGTACCGCAGTGAATTCGGTGTTGTTACAGCTGTAATGTGCAAAATAATATTCTTTTTTCGTCACTGTACAGTAGTGGGTGGGCGAAAAAAAGGTTTTCAAGTTTATATTGGGTACTGGCGGCGCGCAATGTTTGATTGAGTTGGCATAACTTTTTCAAAACAGCAATCTTTGGAACTTAGGAGTACAGTGAAACCTCTTTTATACGTACACGTCCGTTAAGAAAATTTCGTACGTAATGTAGAGGGTGTACGGAACTCAGAGGTGTTTTTTGCAGTGAAAAGTAATTTTGGTTAGCGTTTTGGTGTACTTAATACAGAGGGTGTACGTACATAAGAGTGTGCGTATCAGGGAGGTTTTACTGTACATATTTCAGTCCTTCTTAGTTTCGTTTGTTAAACTGAGCAGCGGCTGTGTGTCGTTATGGACTAACGATGTACAATACAGTACATATTGCTTTTCTATGGTACTGTAGCCTGTAGCTTCTACGGTCTATCTATTGCCAACTTGTTAGCAGATTTTGCTGACTTTACTTAGTGTCTTTAGATTCGGAGCCCGGAATGCCAAATCATCCAGCAACAAGAACAGCAGATAATCCAGGAACAGAACATCACTCTATTAAGAGGGGGAAGTTGCGGAGTTGGGCAAAATACTACTCTAGTAGTAAAACTGCTCTTTTTGCGCTGTAGCTTGTAGTGTGATGACTTACGGACTAACTGTTCCTGGGTGATTTGCTGTTTTGTTGCTGGATTATTTGGCATTCTGGGTTCAGAATGTTATGACAGTAAGTAAAGTCAGCAAAAGTCACCATGGATAGGCCGTAGAGTTAGAGGCTACAGGCTGCAGTATTGTATGTCGTTAGTCCTTAGCGACACACCGGCGCTGTACAGCTTAACAAACGAAACAAAGAAGGATTATCCTCATATCGAACACACAATTCTCCATCGTTCTTAGTAAAAATTTATTTTAATGTAATTGAAATCAGTTTAGTAATTTTAAATTGAACACAAAAGTGTAAGGGTTACGAGCAGAAAAACGATTGCAGACTGTAGCGGAACTCTGCATAGCACAGTGTTAAATGTCTAGGGAGGCTGTCTATGGCAGGCAGGACGGCAGGAGTTTAACTTATCGTACGGCGTTTATCAAATGGTACGGCTAATTTCTATAATATAGAAACATTTCTATAATATTATTATTGCAATTCTATAATATTATTGAATTTCTATGATATTATTGCGTATGGCTATTTTTTACAGTGATAAATTGTTTGGGTGGATTGAGTTTTCTGTTATCAGGGTTTCTGTAATTTGTTTGCCTAATGCGTGATCTGAATTTGTTTTGTGATTTTGCATATTGCAAATATGTACAGTATAAAATCATTGTATTTACACGATATTAATGGTCAGTTCTAAGTTTTGCAGTAAATTTTCAGTTTGATATAAAAAGGGTTCCAATTTCATATAAATAGGTACTTGTAGGTAACAAATGGAATGTTTCTACCGTACAAAATCGTTTTACGGTGACCAGTACGAAGCAAAACGTGTCATGAAAGATGCTACTCGAGAAGGCATACCTTCGTTCCCCATAGTGATTTACGGAGACAGTTTCGCTCGCTACTGGATAAGAAAGATTGTGAAAATTCGCGACATGTTTGTATACATCGAAAGCAAATCTGGTGCTCTCGCATCGGGTGTATTAGATGCTGCCCAGTGGAACTTAAATAATTCGTGCCGGAAAAAAGTCGTCGTAATTGAAGCAGGCGCGAATGACCTCACTGCATTTCTGAAAAAGCATACAGCGGGTGCTTCGGAGGATGAAGTTTGTACATTTGTTGCCAATCTTGTAACAAGATTCGTGAAGTTTTGTGAGGACAATTCCGAAAGCAGCGACAAATTTCTTGTGTTAGGCTTGTTTAATCGGCACATGCATAAGGGGGAGCATATGCAAAACTTTGCTGATACTGTGATTAAGGTGTACAATCAGTGTCTCCGGGAATGTTGCAGTGCACGAAATATATCAGTCTTGATTCCTTCGGGTTTGTTTAAAGATGATAATCTTACAGAAGATGGTATTCATCTTAGGTATGCAGAGTACTCTTCTGTTGGATCGCCTCGTCGTGCATTTGCAACTGCTTTGCGTCATAAGTTGTTGTCTATTACTAAGCATGT